GTGCAACTCCTTGTGTATGTGAAGCGTTTTCCTCTTCATGACCAGAGTATAACAGCAATTCCCCTGAAGCTAGTCTCAGTTGTCCTACTTGTGTCCAATGTGTTTCACTGATTCCAAGCACCTCGAGGTTTTATCTTTTCATTTCTGCCGCAACTTGAAATAGTCTTCCAGTCTCCCATAATGTACGAACGTTCCATGTACCTAAAAAATGGTTGCTCTGGTTGTCAGAAGAGGCATCAGCCCCGTGACTTCCGAGGGAACTCGGCTTTCATCACGCGACGTCACAATTCTTCCTCCAACCCCCAGGGCAGAGTTAAAATGGTTTGAATTATTTTTTCTGGTTAGCGTTTTTTTGGCAAGTTAGTTTTTGACGGGATGGGGTCGCCAACCCCATGTCCAACCCTCCTCCTTTACCCGGGCTTGGGACCGGCAGTAGCCCCGAAGGTTCTACTGGCGGAGTCGGGGATAGTGTGTGTCTGCATTATAGGAACTATTGCTTCGTAGGACAGATGCATGTAGTGAACTAAGGATTTTGAAATATGTGGTGGGTTTTATTGACAATATACTATGATTTTTCATTTCAAATGCCAGATGGCGAAAGCTTGTAGCCCTACTTCTAGAGGAACTTCTTTGGGTCTTAGTGACTTCGTTTATACCAGCGCCACTGAAAAAATACTACTCAATTACAGAGGCATGGATGACTTGAGTTTCGGATGTACTTGATTCTTCGGGCTTCGAAACAATTGTTGTAGCTATCTTATGTACACTGTTCGTCCTTGAACAAATAGCTGCAATCAATGTATTAACTGCCACAAGAAGGGTAGGGGTGGGACTTGGAAAACACATTGGATATTGTCGGAATATTATTATTACCACTTTCCCAGATCAGTAACTCGACATATCTCCCTTATAATCTTTGTGTCCTCTCTCTTGCTTACACTTCTGTCTTCTCACATAATCTTCAATACCAATTATTTCACTGACTGATCCATTTATTTACTTCGTGCTGAAATCTTACGCTTTTTAGAATTAGAGTTTTCTCCTTATTACTCTTCACATTGCAACTGACTGACCTCAGACCTGGTAACGTAAGAGCTGCCAGTATACAGAAACCCTTGTTGTAGTACCTAATAAAAATACCACTTCGCGGGATAACAAATGTTAATCCCGTTACTCCAGGAATCAGATAAAAGACGATTCTAGAGGAAGAAGAATATTTAATGCTAGCCTCGGAATATCGAAATAACCACGAGATTAGGGTATACGAGAGGCTAACAACGAGCGAGGAGAGAATGCCGAAAGGCAAAGACATGCTTGGCACTCGATAGTCTTTAGTACAGATAAACAAAAGGTGTACAATATAACAATTATTGTCAGAATTAAGTACAATAATAGATGTTTGTATTTCAGAAATTGTGTTTTTTAGTAAAAGTATACCACTATACCCTACTAACCTTAAACAAACGAATTCATTCAAATCACGGGACTTGCAAACTGGCAAGCAAATACCAACTGACTAGATGAAGTGCAGTCGAGTGGCTTGACTACCATTCACTGAACACTACCAAACATCTAGAACCGAACCGAAAAAAACAAGAATCAAGCACAGTGAAGTCAATCGGTTTATTGTAGGTCGCGAAAAAGATATTGGACATTTCTCAGCGCGAACTCTGAAAGTGGTAACATTTTTTCACGTGGTACAGATATTTCATCAAATCGTTTATTTCAAGGGGTAAACTATACCTATACTAATAAGCAACCTTGTATATGCGATAAAGTTCTCTTTTAAACGGTAGATCTTTCGAATTTTTAGTAACCAGCATGCTGACTTATCTCTGACAAGTAACCAATGGTGCATTGGTTTAGACCGTACAGCTTATTCATAACCTTGTTGTTTAGTCACTGATTTAATTATCCAGAAATCTGAAGCAATCTACTTGGATTTTATGTGTCGTGAGATGGTCGGAGATCTCTCAAACCTAGGTTTCGTATTGTTTACATCTATTTTAACTATAATCTGTTTTATAGTATTCTGAGACTTCTGCTTTCGGATTCCTATTGAGTTGGGTTGTATTCTTATACCCAGTGTTTTTATGATTTGCATGAGAATTCCTTCTCCACACATTTTTTCCATCCGAGCCTCAGATTATTTTATTCAAATCACCTAACTTAGTTTGTTCAGGAACTTAGTAAACCGTGACACGATCAGGTTCATAATATCTTTGACCTTCTCTCTCGAATAAACTATTATCTAGTGAATTATCACGTCTCTTACTTGAACGCTTAGGCAATGATCTGTTCACTTCAACCTAGTCCCCAAAAATCTTACACTTTTAAACCGTGAGACATAAATCAGAATTTCAGAACTATGAGAAAAGCTTAAACCCTGCTAAGTTATGGTTAGAAAACAAGATCATTTACAGAATTATCTGGTCCTGAGTTTTGGAAATGCTGTAAACAAAAGAGTATTCTCAACTAGTAATTTCTATGGTACACTAATTCATTTGCATGATCTTGAATAATCCTGATTGATCAGAACAATCTCAGTGTCTTCTCGCCTTCTGTAAACATTTTTAAGAAGTTACGGGATGGTTATGGCATTAATGGTTCAGAATCTAATAATTTGTGTTCTCTAACTCTGATTACAGAATAAAACAATTATGCAATTCTTATTAATCCAATATTCTTAAGATCGATATTACTAGCTAGTACCTGAATCTTTCGAAAACCTGTAAATCAGACTTTTTCCCCTTTAAAACAACGAACATTGCATTCATGAGTCAAATCAGTGATAAACTACATTGTAGTGCACATGTAAGATCGACTAAAAAGTACATTGTTTCGCCAAAGACTTTTTCTGAATAGGAATTATCCAGCATGTGTAAACTGTTTACCGAATTTCATATAATGAATGGATTTTGGCGAAGACGGGGATATACATGACACTTGTTTCACTCTACTTAGGACTCGTCAGCTGGATGAAACTGAATCCTTATACTGATGTCCATAACATGACTTCTAGATTCCGGTGCTAGACACAAAACTTTTAATGATGTGTTTAAGTTGAAACTATATACGCTAAATATAAACATGCCGATTGAAGCTAATTAAAATTCATTCAGTCATATTAATAACAGAATGGTTAAAACCTCTTACAAATTAAATACAATTCACTACATATCAAAACTGTCAGAACAGAGGAATCGGTCGTAAACCATGCTATTTATTCTTACTTTTAACCAGTGATTTGTAATCTGACAACTACGTTGGTTAGATATTCTTTTATATAAATGACGTTTAATAGTACTTACCTACATAGTCTCTCGGTTAGTCATTCATATCGTTGTACGATCAACACATTTGAAATGGGGTCCTTACTTACTTTACTTACTTACACCTGTTACCACCAATGGAGCATAGGCCGCCAATCAGTCTTCTCCAACCAACTCTGTCCTGGGCTTCCCTCTCCAGTTCTGTCCAACGTTTGTTCATTCCTCTCATATCTTTCTCTATTTTTCGGCGTAGTGTGTTGCTTGGCCTTCCTCTTTTCCTTTTGCCTTGAGGGTTCCAAGTGAGGGCTTGTCTCGTGACGCAGTTAGGTGCTTTCCGTAGTGTGTGTCCTATCCACTTCCATCAATTCTTCCTGATTTCCTCCTCCACTGGAATCTGGTTTGTTCTCTCCCAAAGAACATTGTTGCTAATGGTGTCTGGACAACGAATCCGAAGTATTTTGCGAAGACAACTGTTAATAAACACTTGTATCTTGTGGATAATGGCTTTGGTAGTTCTCCAAGTTTCCGCTCCATACAGTAGAAGTGTGTTGACATTTGTATTGAAAATCCTGATTTTGATTTTGGTTGAAAGTTGTTTGGAGTTCCAGATATTTCTCAGTTGTAGAAATGCAGCCCTTGCTTTGCCAATCCGTGCCCTCACATCTGCATCGGATCCACCTTTCTCGTCGATGATGCTGCCCAGATAAGTAAAGATGTTAACGTCCTCCAAGGCATCTCCATCAAGAGTGATTTGGTTGGTGTATGTTGTGTTGCATCGGAGAATTTTGCTTTTTCCTTTATGTATGTTGAGACCTACTGCTGCAGAGGCTGCTGCTACACTGGTCATCTTCTCGTGCATTTGTTGTTGAGTGTGAGATAGAAGAGCCAGATCATCTGCGAAGTCCAGATCGTCCAGCTGCGTCCTAACTGTCCAGTTGATACCAAAGCCGACCATAACGACATACAATTATCTGGATAATTTTTCTGATTATCTACAATTACTATGCATCTTTCTGTTAGTAGTATTCACAGACTTATGCTGATAGTATTACATACAATGAAATGCTTGAATTCAGGTTATAAATATACAACAACTGCAAAATTAACTCAGAATATTGTTCCGACTTCATAGTATTCTACACCAAACTTTGTTTTGTTTTGCTTTTCAAAATAAAAAAAGGAGCTGTGCATATGAAATAAAACTTTGAAATCCTTCATCTCAGCTACATATCTTAGTTTTACCAGCTATTACAATAATAAGACAAATGAAGCAAGTGTTCTACAGAGATCTTACAGTTAACTAGCAAAACACAACAACCATCCCAATCATTTTTTTATGCCAAACAACGAAACTAGTAATCTATTATAATTTACGAACCTTTTTCAGTTAATTACTACAAAATACTATGAACGCAATCACATTTATCTACTCCTAACGTAAACTAGTCTTTCTCCCACTGTAACAACTATTGCCGGTAATTTTTAGTTGAAGTATTTTGACTACTGAATAATAATAAGTAATAAACTTTTATCACGTATAGAAAACATGCATCGTTCAGCCAGATTTTCAATGCTTATAATCATTAGCATTTCCAAAAAAAATAATCAGTAATCTATTTAGAATGAATTAGGCTTTTGCTAGTAACAATTCCTTTCAATCAAATAAAAAGTTTTCAAAAATACTAAAATACTAGCAGTACAACTATTTAAAAAGATCAATGAAATTACTCATAGATTTTCATGATTGAATAAAATGGCTAGTCGATAGTTATCAGCTATAGAATTCTGTTGACCAAAAGTGAACTGATTTGAATGCTGAAAAATTCTGTTTACATAATTTATAGTGTTTATTTGGACGTTTTAGAGTAACAATTGTTCGACGGTTAAGCCACTTTCAACTATCTAGAGAAATTTGCATTATTCACGTGTTTGACTACTGGCATTTGGTGGTATATTTAACATATTCTTTGTTTGAGTTCACGAAGTGCCTAAAATAATTTGGAAACCTTTGTGGTTCTAGAAATTTGACGACCTCTGAAATTCCTCAAAGACAAACTTGAGTAACGTTTGCTTACTAGCAACTAAGAATGAAACATTAAATTTTATGAAAGAAGCATAGGACTAGTGGTTAGAAATCTCTGCATATTAAATCTACCTGAATTATTTATACTAAAAAAAATTGGAAGTTGAAAAATGATCTAATAGATGCAAAGTTTAAAAATTCAAATATGAACTTCTATAGATTCTGTGATTTGAAGACGATTTGAACCGATATTCACATATCAAGTAGTTTTAAGCTAATAAATATGTCGTTAACATTTAGTTTTTCTTATGTACCAAAGATATGAGATTTAGTCAGTGAGTTAAAGACTAAACTGTGATAAGTTTACGTTCTATTTTGAATAAAACTAGCCAATAAACTCAAACAAATCAGAAAATCAAACGCCATGCTTAAACACATTTTTATGCATATGTATAGAGAGAACTCAGTAGATTAATCTACTTTACTTCATCACTTGTACACAAAGAAAGTAACCTGAAATTTTTTCCAGAATGATTAAAGTTAAATTTTTTAAAATATTTCTGCCAATCTTTTGGTAAGATTTGCTGTTATGGATCAATTTGAATGTCGACTAATTGCTTGACTCTCACAGCAAAATATTTCTAATTTCTATTCACATGTACAACAGTTTTATAAATGAAGTTGACTCGTCTTGATACTTCCGAAGTACCCATTTGTCCAAATATTTATTGAGGCTGTTGATTGAAAATATGATTGGTGACGTTATTCAATTCGATTGTTTCGGTAATTGCATTTAAAAAGTAGTGTAGTGAATGAAAACACAGGTGGGGGCAACCGAATTGTATTTAACGAAAATTACAGAGTTACTTAGTAAAATCGGAAAACCATATCGTAAATCGTTCATTTGCAAAATATCAGTTCATCCTATGGAACTGGACTGTTCCTGTTGCAAAACATCAATCCATTGTCACTATTCATGCGTTTCATATAAATTCCATTGTTTTTTAACTCTTCCTTTCTTGAACCTCTCCCATCTTCTGGTGCCAGACATTACGTTTACACTCACGTCATATACTACTTATAAGTAGCTCGCACCACAACACCACAATAGGACTGTGAACCAGATTGATTTTAGGAGTAACTTATTGCTGAATAAGTAAATAGAATGATGCTGGTTATTTTTGATTTAATATAGCAAATATCACATTGTTATATGGGTATCATTTCTGAAAAATCAAGTTTATCCATTTTCTTGTTCAAATAGTTGAACTCATTTGATCAACAAGTGACTAGAATGATGTAGGTTAGTTACAAAATTAACTATTTTTACTAATGATAAAGAATATGACATTGATATATGTATCCTTCATGCAAACAAATCAAATTTGCCCATTTTTTTTTGTTCAGATAATCAAACTTATTTAAGTCCACAATGTCACATATGAATAAATTTGTAAATTCCAACAACTCCCGAACAAACATGTGATTATTGATTTCAATTAGAAAATCCTTCATTTTGCCTTTGACAAACTAACTCTAGATTCTAATAAGAAAACTGTTTTAACACGATTTATACTGACAAGAGCAAATAAATTAGTTCTTGTTTAGTCATTAACAAACTGAAATGAATTGAACAAGTAAGTGAATCTGTGAGCAGATTAATAGACGGGACTATATTCCACACTATGTAACACTTGATTACTCACAAGTAGTTAAAAATGAATTGCGTACATTTATTAAAAGTAGTGATTTGTTTACCAAATACTACTCAATGAAAAACAATCAACTTCCTTCATTTTAATGCAACAATATTTTGAACATCATTCTGAACTCATCGATTGATTTGGTGTACTTTTCACTGACATACACATCAAAATAATATACAACATAATCAACAGTCTGATGGTAAGGCGTTCGCCTACAATGCCAAAGGTCCCGGGTTCGAATCCCGCGAGAAGCAGGAGTCGTGGATATGCACTGCTAAGGAGTCCCATACTAGGACGAAACGGCCGTCCAGTGCTTCCAGGTTTCTAATGGTGGTCCAACAATGATTGATTGATGATTTCAAATGTGTATAAACAACAGCACAATTTGTAATCACAAACAAACGAACGCTAATCGAATCCATGATTCATCAACCTAGCCCATCATCTCAAAATCGATCAAGAAACCCAGACTCGTCCATTGCAAAACATCTAATGATGAATGGTCATCAAATTGACCCAAAATCAGCCTTTATAGAGTTGTGACATGTAATCAAAACCCACACACACTGAAACTACTGGAAGTTATCTTGATTGGTCGGAAAAGTCCAACTTTATGTGTTCAAAAACAACTGTATGTTGACCTTTGTTTACCGTGGTTCTTCTAGTGAGTAAATGTCATGCTAAATAAGAAATTTTGAACTTATCTTCAAAACTGTATTTACACAAATAACATGTTGCTTGTATGTGACTGACGAGAAAGCACGAAATGGTACTATCTCACAAAATATGTCTTCTCATTTCTCTATTCAAAATTACCAAAACAATATTACACCTTCGAGTTTCTAATCACAACAATAAGATTCGATACTGGAAGAATAAATGCTTCCAGTTAGCTGCAAGGAGCTGCTGCACAATTTTTAATCACAAACAAACCAACCCTCTCTCATCTTTACTCAACAAACATGACCATTATTAAACAATGTGAATTTTTCTAAATAAATTTTTTTTACAATGAAAAGGATATATCATAAATTGGCTATTTTAAAAAATTCAAAGAAATATTGACAATCTTAGTTTGAAAAATATCATTCATTGTTCTTCAGGCAGATAATACATGCTGAATATCGAACATAGTGGAATGTATTGAATCAAATCAGCGAGAACTCTACAATCTTTTTACTACTAGTTTGTAAATTATGATATATCTGTTACTGCATGCATATGTATGTTTGCACGAGGAATTGAGTAACAACATCATCTACTTATTGATTTTTTTACTCACTAATTTATTGTGAATATGATTAAATCTAAATTCAATGATTAGAAAGGCGAATAGGAAAGTTATCAGAACCAATGTATTGTGTATCACATAAGTAGCATTCGCCATACAATCTCTAATGTTTCATTAATTCGTATAAATAGTGTGAATCATGATGATCGACTGGATTATGAAGATGTCAGCATCTGGAGAGAAGCATGGTATTCAATGGACAGATAGGATGCAGATGGAAGATCTGGTCTTCGCACATGACCTGGCTCTTCTATCGCACACGTAACAACAAATGTAAGAGAAGACGACCAGTGTAGCAGCAGCCTCTGCAGCAGTAGGTCTCAACATACATAAAGGGAAAAGCGAAATTCTCCAATGCAACAACATGCACCAGCCAAATCACTCATGATGGAGATGCCTTGGAGGACGTTGACACATTTACATATCTTGGCAGCATCATCGACGAGAAAGGTGGATCCGATGCAGATGTGAGGTCGCGGATTGGCAAGGCTGTTGGGGATGTTAGATCCCCAAAATTCGCTTGATAATGCCGTATTTTGGTTTTCACGTTTCGCCAGCATGGGCTGATCAGATGACCTTGAGATTTCAATTCCCACCAGCAAAATCAATGGCTGTGATTGGCTGCTGTGTATTTAAGTGTGCTATTTTCTTAACTGTCTCAAGGACGTTCCTATGTTGTATAAATAAACGAGAGTTGTATGCTTGATTGTACTGTGATTGCTGGGTGTTTATAGAATATAATTTCTACGCTTACAAAGTCTTTTCACTTCGGCCTCGGATTCAAGGTAGCCTCGCTGGAAGCTGGTAAAAGTCTCGTTCGCGTTTATCGACTAAGGTAAACTCGTAATAGCCTCAAGCATACTAAGTGACGAACTTATCAGTGGCGACGATGCTTTTGGAAATATGGATCCTGCCAAACTTGAATTACTACTTGAGCAGCAGCTGAAACTGATGCAGATGTTGACGGACATGAAGATTTCCCCTTCCACACAGCCCAGCTCATCTAATGCAACCACAGCTCCATCGGTCGACGGCATCGCAAATAGCATATCTGAATTTCATTATGATCCTGATGCAAATGTCACTTTTGACATGTGGTTCCGGCGTTATGAAGATTTATTTAAATCTGATTTCGCCAACCAAGATGATGCTTGGAAGGTTCGGCTGCTACTTCGAAAGTTGGGCGCAAGTGAGCTGGATAAGTACTGTAATTTGATCCTGCCTTTGAACCCACGAGATTGTTCGTTTTCTGAGACTGTCCAGACTTTAAGCCAACACTTTGGAGACAACTCGTCACTATTTAATACTCGTTATCGATGTTTGAAGCTAATTATGAACGAAGATGATGATTTTCTTACGCATGTGGGCATCGTCAACCGTGAATGCGAACGCTTTCGGTTGAAGTCTTTGTCGGAAGATCAGTTCAAAGCCCTTATACTCATCTGCAGCCTCCAGTCGAGTAAGTTCAGTGACATTAGAACAAGGCTACTAAGTCGTTTGGAGCAAGATCCGAAGCTTACGCTTTATGATATGGCTCATGAGTACCAACGTCTCACTAACCTACAACGAGACACGACTATAGTTCAGAGTGGTAGTTCAAGCCGATCTGAAATTCATTTGGTACAGCAGCCACCTAATCATTATAAGTCTGCCCATGCGACACCCAGTTCACCCCGCTCCAATTCTGCCCAAAAACCCAAAATGAATCCACCTTCTGCTTGCTGGCACTGCGGTTCATGGCACTATGTACGGAACTGCCCATTTAGGCAGCATAGATGCAGGAAGTGTAAAGTCATCGGTCATAAAGATGGCTTTTGCCTACAGAAAAAGCCAAAGCAATCCAGAAATGCTAAGAAGCCTGTTCCTAGATCCAGTACCAATGCATTGAGCCTAAAT